CACCCATCCTTTCTCTCTCTCTCTCTCTCTCTCTCTCTCTCTCTCTCTCTCTCCCTCCCTCCCTCCCTCCCTCCCTCCCTCCCTCCCTCTTTCTCCACACCTGAAGTCAGGGATCCCCTCTGATTTTCTCAGATGCACAGCAAAAGGCCTCTCCCAGATTTGGCAGAGGGTAAGCATGACAGGAAGGGGAAAGGTACTGAAGCAGTGGCCCCCTAATCATTCAGTGCTGGAGTTATCAAGCTCATAAAAACAGCACTATGCAGATCTGCTCTGGCATGCTTCCAGATGGTGCTTACCTCTTTCCGTGGTCATGTGAGAAAGGTGAAAATTAACCGAGAAAATCATTATCCTCCCTTTGGAAACCTCTTCTACAGTAGGAGCAAACTGTTAACATATAAACAATGCTTCATGCCCACATTTCTGCCTTCTACTTATAACCAATTCACCATTAACACAGTTTCTGGAAATTCATCATATGCCACTCTGTGTTCAGGACATACAATCTCTGTCATGTGGATGGGCTCACTTAAGTCTTTCATTAAGAAGACACTGAAGCCAGACATGGTGGTCTGCACCTATAATCCCAGCTACTCAGGAGGCTGAGGCAGGAGGATTTCAAGTTGGAAGCCAGCCTGCACAACTTAATAATACCCTGTCTGAAAATTAAAAAAATAGAAAGGACTAGAGACATAGCTCTGAAATATAGTACCCCTGGTTTCAACCCTTAGAACTACAAAATAAATAAGATATTGAACCCCAAATATTTCATGCAATGTAAGAGATTGAAAGAGAGGCTAAGGTGTGGCATGGTATGGTCAAGACAGGCTACTCAGAAGTGAGCTTCCCCTGAAGAGAGGAACAAAGAATTCAGATAGGCTGGGAGAAAAAAGAAAAGAATTCCAGGCAGACAGTTGTGTGCCCAAAGGTCCTATTAGGGATTCTGCAACTGGCCTTGCCAACTAATGGCCATGCTAGTTTAAGGTCATAAAAATAACAAATTTACACAAAACAGTGTAGATCTCAGAATGATTTTAAAAGCCTAATGATGGTAGGATATCTGTAAAGTGGAGGATTCCAGGGAAAGAAGGAATAGAGATCTGGCATGGACAGCAAATTCTGAACAGTCTTGGCAGTCAACAGACCTAAATTCCAATCTGTCTTCAGGGTACAATCTGGGACTCCAGCGAGGTTCTTCTCTCTAAGCCCTGGTTTCCTCATTTGTAGCCTGGAGATAATAATGTCAGTCATCAGATGAAATGAGGCAACACAAATCAATTATCCTGTTTAGTAGCTGATATGAAGATGTTCAGGAAACAGTGAAGGTTGTAATCATATGGAAAGAAACCAAGAAAAGCTGTCCAGTTAGATATAAATAAGGGATTACTAAATTACAATGTCTTTGAAGAAAGGAAGTTGAAGGGTCTAATCTGTCTTGTACTTCCATATTCTACCTTTCAACCCTTGGGCTATAAAAATCTAATAGACATGGTGCCTGTCTGGCTTATCTGCAAAAAGGACAGTCTTTGTGGTGCTACTTTCTAATAAGCACCTTAATAATTAAAAGGAAAATTACCATCTTTGCTCTGAGAGAATGACAGAGATTATTTTTTTATTCACTTGATTAACTCATTCTATGTACTTCTACAGGGCTGGCAAAGAAGCTTTTCAAAAATGTTCATGAATGTCTTTGTAATAGACAGTGTGACCAGTCCTTTTAGGACCTTTGGAACCTTTTGCTTCTTAAGCCAGGAGCAAAAGGTAATGCTTTAGTCTATGATGTCCTAGAGGCATGAATCCTGATGGGTCTGAGAAAGGATTTTCTACAAAACAGGTAAATTAAGATGTATGCATTCATCTACTCATGCCTTTCCACTCATCTGTTTGTTTATTCATGTTTTTAAAATCAAACATCATTTGTGTATCTAAATTTGTGTACCTGCTAGGTAAAAAAATACCAGGCAGAAAGGATTGTTGAACTCAAGGGGCTTACATATATATGTATTATGGTAGATACATATTTTTGTGATACTGGGGATAAACTCAGGAGCACTCTTCCATTCTTTTTATTTTTTGAGTCAGGGTCTCACTAAGTTGCCCAGGCTGACCTCCAACTTGCAATCCTCTTGCCTCAGCCTCTCCAGTCACTGGGATTACAGGAACTTGAAGGGATTTACAGTTTAAAGAGGAAAATGAACAACTATCTATCAGAAGCCAACTAGTACCATGAGGACAAAATTAATTCTGGCTAGCAAGGCTTCTATAAGGGAGCTCATCGTCTGGGCTAGGATTTGGACAATCAGAGTTGGTATAGGTGGTTCAGCTTGACTTCTGGAAATTAGAGAATATGTGTTTCACCTGGGATGGAGAGCTGTCTCCCACAAGAATAGCTAGATATCTTAAGGTGGCTCAGGTACAAAGGAGGATAGAGGTAGGCAAGCACTGGAATTGTGAAGAATCTTGAATGCCCCAGTAAGGAGTTGCTTCCACTGATTATGTCCATACTTCCCAGTATGTGGTACTCAGAAAACTGTAAAGAAGCAAAGGAAAAGGGTGCGGTATCTTAGATAGGTTCAGGCTCCAGACCTCTTAAGCTTTTTGTTTTCTTCCTTCATGAGTAAACAAGGCCTTTTCTTGCCTTAGTTTATCATCTTTGGAACCAACCTTTACCCTTCCTCCTTCCCTTCACTGGATAACTAGGAATTAATCAAACAAACAAGTAAATTATGAGGACATCCAAAGACACAGGCCATTGCTGAGGTCGCTCTTCACCACTTCAATCCAGCTACATCTGCTGGGTTTTCCGACTGGTATCTGTTTACACCCTAATCCCAAAAGTGTTTGAAGGCCATCTTTGTCTTCCTTTGTGTCATATAACGGGCAGCTGGACTTCCCATCTATGATCTTGGTTCCACTTGGTGCCATCTTATTTTCTCTTGGGCCAGGCTGACATCAATGTTTCCCCACCTCCAAGATACACAGCCAGGATGCTCCCAACTGAAGACAATCCGCTAAATGCACAGAGCATTCCTCTCCACTTCCCCATCCTCACGCCCTCCACTTGGACAATTCCATTCTTACCTTAGTTCAGATATCTCATCTCTTCTAGACAATACAGTAAAGAAATGTTTCCCCCCTACAAACCATTTATATAGGGTGCAAGGTTCTCTCTGTGCCCTATCACATCCTTCTTAATATAAGCACTGAGTACCCCAACCTTGCCACCCAAGTCTCAATTTTAAAGGTCCATTTGGTTCTTAAAATGTGTTCCACACTAGCCAGTTGCAGGGGTGCACACCTGTAATCCCAGCCACTCCAGAGGCTGAGGCAGAAGGACTGCACATTCAACACCATCCTGGGCAACCTAAGAGGACCCTGTCTCAAAATAAATAAAAAGGAGCCAGCACCTATAATCCCAGCGGCTTGGGAGGCTGAAACAGGAGGATCACAAGTTCAAAGCCAGCCTCAGGAAAAAGCAAGGCACTAAACAACTCAGTGAGACCCCGTCTCTAAATGAAATACAAAAAAATAGAACTGGGCATGTAGCTCAGTGGTCAAGTGCCCCTGAGGTCAATCCCCAGCACGCCCCCAAAAAAAATTTAAAAATTTGAAAAAATAAAATAATAAGGGTTGGTGGTATTGCTCAGTGGTAGAGAGGCCCTGGGTTCAATCCCCAGTACAACAACAACAAAAAATGTATTCCATATTAGATAATCACAATATCTTGCCTGAAGAAAAGGAGGAAAACACTTGGAGACAAGTGGGAGGGCAGAAAAAAGAGGCTCCTTAGGTGAGGTAAGTTCAGTTGCAGCAGTCACACTTGGGCAGGGTTCAGGGTTACCCACTCATCCATCACAGCTCTTAAAGACCATTAACTTGCTAGCCATTATCCCACCACATTTCCCACACTCAGTCTCTTAGGAGGAGGATAACACTGCCATAGGAGATACAGAGTAGTGTGTCACCCCACAGGTTAAGACTTCTATGGAGCAGGAGTACAGCATCACCCAACTGCATTCAGCCTAGCACACAGTAGAGGGGTAAGCGATTCACTTGAGGGGGACAGCGGGGAACAGTTGAGAAAACCAGAAAATGTAGAAACTCCCAGAAGTAGTAATCCAATTCTGGAGGCCATTATGGACACTGGCCATAGATGCATTCAGTGCCCCTGTGTCGCTGCTTTCTCACAACCTCTCACTTGCCCACTTCTCCCAACACGCCTCACCCCAAGCCTACACTCAATCCTGAGCCTCGGCATGTCCCCTGGGTGCAGGTCCCACCATTGCCCAGCCTCCAACAAGGCCATGTGTGGTTGGGAAGCCTCCTAGAGCTAGATGGCGACCCCTTTAGGGCGATGAACTGCTGCCTAGCCCTCCACCCACCCGTCCTTATTGTGCCATTTGCCCAGTCTGAGCGCAGTCAAAAACGCTAATGTGACTCGGGGAAAATGGAGGGGTGAAGAAAGGAGAGGAAGACATTTCACCAGGACCCAAGATGACCTGCTGCCCCCTTCGGAGCCCCCACCCTGACCCTGCGGTCCTCCGGTGGGGCTAAGGGAGCGAGCAGGCAGGGCAAGGGGAGCGCTGTCCGTCCCGGTCCACAGCTGCACACAAAGCCCTTCACCTTCTCCTGGCCTTCCAAGCTCCTCCCTGGGCTTCGTTTTTCCGAGGGTCTCTGATGCCCCCTTCGGTGGTCGGCGGGACGGTCCGACTCCCTCTCGCAGCGCTGCCTCCTCCCTCGCGTGGTAGCCTCCTCCCAGCCCCTAGCCAGAGACCCCAGAGGGAGCTCAGCCTCGGCTCTGGAGGCGCGAGGGCACACCGTGCGCCCGGCAACCCTTAGCCCGGAGGAGAGCGGACAACGGGTGCCATCTGGGGGACACGACTTAGCCCAGCCTTTCAGCCACAGCTCTCATGCACACACCCCATCCCCGCAGTGATCAGGTCGGGTCCCTATCAGCACCATCCTCAGGCGGCGGGGGAGCCCAGCCACAGCCGTGCTCCTACCTGCGTTGCGGCGGGCGCGGCGAGGAGCGGGGACACCTCGCACCGTGGCGCGATTGCCCTTGTGCTGCGGCGGCGGCGGCGGCGGCGGCTCCAGCAGCCGCTGGCTGGCTGGCTGGCTGGCTCGCTGGCAGACTAGCTAGCCGACTGGCTGGCTGCCCGGCTGACTCCTCACTGGGGCTTCCTGTAGGGCTGGACAAAGGACATTTCCTGGGAGGAGCAGGGGAATGTTCCCAGCATGCCTCGATTTGTAGTTCGCAGGGACTTCCTGCCACCACAGCAGTACCCCTGTCGAGGCTAGGACCCCAGGACTGCAGGGCACGCATACACTCCCCTAAGTGCCGGAGGAAAGGGCTAACAACCCGTGCCCGGTGCCCTGGACCCGCCTGCCGACGCGTGGTGCCGGAGCTGCGCTCCCAGCACTGGCTGCAGCGTCCGGGTTGGACATCGCCGCAGAGCTGTCGCAGTGTGCGGAGGCTCTGCGGTGGGAGCGGCCTTTTCTTTAGAAATGAGGAAGTTTGTGGTGGGTTCTCTTTGAGTTGACTTTTTTTTTTTTTTAAATAGATTTTCTTTTTTATGCCGTCAAAATCCTGGTGGAGGCGGATTAAAGAAAAGAACTTGACTGCTCACCAGGAATTCGGGTTCCTTAAGATCTTGGCGCTTCACCCTTAAAACCATACAGGGCTGATTGTTTCCAGATCCTGACCCGGTGACATTCCTCCCTCCAAAGTTGGCCTTGGCCCAGACATCTTTTCAAGAAAAGCAATTGAATTAAGAGGTGGAAAATAAATTACGTGAATTAAACTTTAGACATGTAAAATCCAGTGTGCTGTTGAATGAAGAACGTACTGGACTTTCTGCTAGTCTTAGCTCCATTCATCTTTAAGACTCAGCTCCTATAAAAGGAGACATGATGCCTAAGGTATACTGAGTGTGTGTTTGGAGGATGGAGAAATGAAGGAATGGGGACCTTGACAAGAGAGGAACTCCACTTCCATCAAGGATCAAGAAAGCTCTTCACAAGTTTCTTGAAATTTCTGGGATCCAAACCTTTGTGGGAAATTCAAGGAGGCGGGGGCCACATAGTGGTCACTTGACTAAAGGCTGTGTTCTGTCAAGGAGAAGAGCAGAATGTAATGAACCCAGCTAGGAAAGAACAAGTGGGATGCTCTAGAATGTGTTTGAAAAATAATCAGACAGAAGATCACAATTACCTGTCCTGGCCTCTTTAAATCCCTGGAATTGGTTGTTTTTTGTTTGTTTATTTGTTTGTTTGTTTGTTTTAGTACCAGGGATTAGACCCAGGGGCTCTTAACCACTGAGCCATATCCCTAGCCCTTGTTTTTGAATTTTATTTAGAGACAAGGTCTCACTGAGTTGCTTAGCACCTTACTACATTGCTGAGGCTGACCTTGAACTTGGGATCCTCCTGCCTTACCCTCCCACCGGCACATCTCACATTGTGAACCCATGTGAATTAGGACATTTGGGTGAGGATTTTAGCTCACTTTTAAGAAAAGGTTATCCACTAGATGAATGGCGTAGTTTTCTTTTTCTAAGTCAACTTAGAAAACTTTTAAAAGTCAACTTTTAAAAGTCAACTCAAATAACCACAGAGATAAAATAGGCTAGTTTAATTTAAGATGGAGAATTGATGAGAAGCATGCAGATAGGATCGTCCACTTCCCAAAAGTTTTCATCACTTTATTAACTGCTCATATAAATTAATTTCACCCTGATGCCTACATTTTTCCAGCCCCTATAAATGAGTGCTTCTTTACAGTTCGCAGCCTGGTAACATTCTAACGATGCTCCCCTATTGTCCCAAGAAAGAGTTCACAACCATCATCAAAACAAATAGCCTCTAATAGCTCTACTGAAAAAGTGGTAAGTGTGCCTGTGGCATTTTGCGTGATCTGTATTCATTGAAGCTATTTTCTGCCTTGCTTCTAACACCCAAAATCTTCCTTCTACATTTCTAATTTCTGCTCAGGATAGTTAAAATTTTACTCACTATCCCCCTCATACCAAATCTGTGCCTCTCCTTTGTTTCCAATCCCAGTTAATCCATTATTTCAACATAGATTTATTTAACACATTCCTCCCGGCACTGTGCCTGAGTAAACATATAACATCCAACAATAAGATATTCACTGAGTAACTGCAAGCTATGTCTTACCCTCCAGGAGTCTACACCCCATTTGAAAAGACAAGACATCACACAATCACTGTATAGCTTTCAAGTGCTGCACAACTTTATACAAGGGTTTGTGTTCTAGGACAATGGTGCTTTTTCCATAACCCCATTTGTTCCCATGGGGCAGGAGTGGAACCCAAGTGGCAGGAGTGGAAATGGGAGGGAAGAGATGCAGACAGTTAAAAAGGAACACCAAATGTGTGAATTTGGTTGTGAAGGATTGGTAGCTTAGGATCAAAGGAAGGTTTTCTGTTTGTGGGGGGTTCAATTGTTTGCCTTTTAAGAGGAGAGATCCTTGGGAATATTTAAATGTTGATGGAAAAGGTCTAAGAGAGAGGAACATAAAGACGGAGGAGAAAGGATAAGGGATTAGCGCTCAAGGAATACTGGTTGAATTAACAAATTCCTGCAATGGATCATTGCTGGCGATGTTGAAATTGAAATGAATAAATTTCACATTCCCAGCTAAGATATGCAGAGCCTGAGACCCACAGAAATGACATTCCTTTCTCCCTTGTCATGTGCCCTCCCCTGCCCTTCAAGTCCTCAGGGAAGGTAATAGACAAGTCAGTGAAAGGAAGAACCAGGCTTCCCCAGTATCAGAGTTATCAGCTTAGCAAAAGGTCTGAAAAGTACACAGCAACTTCAGAAAAGTCTCAACTTATGTGCCTACTGATTGTTATTTTATTCTTAAACAAATAGTGTACCCTTGCCTTTTTTTTTTCATTTTTTTCTTCAACATTTTGAGGTAAAATAGATAACTATTTTCATTCTCATATTTCAAGAACCTGGACAGATTCTTCAACACTTTTTGTTTTGTTTGTTTGGTTGGCTTTTTGTTTGTTTGTTCTAGTTTTATTTTGTATTATTATTACGATGTAGGTGGACAGGAAGCAGGATTTATTGACAGGTGTTACTAAGGAGAAGGTAGCATAGTGGAAGCCCTCACAGTGTAGGGCTTTCCATTTGTCCAGGGGACAATGGTTGTGGATGAATCTGAGCCTGTAGCCATTGGGCATAAGCCATTTGTCAGCCACCATATCTTCAAATTCATCCTCATTAAACTTGGTAAAGCCCTACTTCTTTGTATGTGATGCTGAGGATTGAACCTGAGCCGCACGCATGCCAGGCAAGCTCGCTATCGCTTGAGCCACATCCCCAGCCCAGCCCTACTTCTTTGAGATGTGGATCTTTGGTGGGTAGCCAGAGTGCTTGAACTTCGCCCTGCAAAGGGCCTTAATCACGTGTTTCTTGTTCTACAGCCTAGTGCTGATGGACATGATGACTTGATCAATGTGAACCCTGGCCACCATGCCCTGGGGCTTCCCAAAGGTGACAAGCATACCTGTCTGGAACTTAGATTGTGAAAAGCCCTAGATCAGAGACATGTGCATTTATTTTAAAGGACTGTCTCAAAGATCCCTTAGGGCAGCTCATATCAGCAACAGGCTGTGTACATGACTGAAGAGTCTGCTGTTTGAACACTGGGTGCCATAAGAAAAGAAGCCCAGTTGCCAACATGCTTAAAGTTTTCAAGTAGAAGTGATACATCTGTTATTTTTCTTAACCTGGCAAGCATCCATTGCTCCTCTTTTGGATAGCCTCACCTTTAGGAATAAATAACCGGCTTTCCACCTTTAGTCCTTGTGGTTTAGAGAGGTGCAGAGCCATCCTCTACCTCCATTTCAGTGGTGGTACAGGATCCAGACCTGCTAATGAGCCACTTCCAGTGCCGTATGCAGGATAAGATATAACAGGAAGTAGAGCTGAGGAAGCTAGGGGTGCGGGGAGAGAGAAAGAGAGACAGAGAAAACACACAGGAGCAAATCTTTACAGTACTGTTTGATCATGCCTGAAACCAAGATACCCCTAGACATTTTGTTTACATGAGCCAAAACATTCCCTTTGGGGCTTAAGCTATTTTGAGTTAGTTCTAACTTATAGCTAGAAGAGTTCTATATAGCTGTATGTGGGATGTCGCAGCCCAGCAATTGGCTGGGTTGAGGAAGAGTGAGAATAGAAAAGATTCCTCTGTGCCAGGCTAGACACAGATTCCTCTGTGTCTTTTGAAATGGTAGCCAAGAAACGGAACGAAAGGTGTCAGACCTCTCCATGTCAGGGATAGAGTTTGAGATATTGACCAATGTCAGAATTTTAGAGACTTTAAACTACTTATAATTTTATAAATTATCTTAAGAAAGGCACATGATGATATTGAAACTGGCTATGTAGAAACAGAGAAAGAAAGAAAAGCCTGGCTATAAGTTTTCCTTCCTGCTACTAACCAGCAACCCCAAATGAGAAAGAGTCCAATGCACCCAGTCATGCCAAAGAACTGAAATCTCCATCTTGCACACAGTGACCAAAATGACGTTAAAGTAAAGACTAAAAATGGGAAGACTATCACCCAGGTCTGCATCAAACTCCTCCTGCTGTGCTGTCCCCATCTGAAGCAGGTCACCCTAATTAAAAGAGCTATCCACTAAGACACAGCCTTGCACCAGAAGCCAATCTGTTAGTCCTCACCCACAGACACTGTTTCAAATCACCCTGGCAGAGGCCAAAATGGCCACCATTAAACAGAAAACTGGAGAATGAACCAGCCCTAAGCCTGTCTTTAAGACTCCAGGCCAGGGTCTAGAGCAGAGATGAACTTCATACTTCTGAAATACAATATCAAGTGATTGACTAAAACAGCTCAGTTCCCAAGAAAAGGAACCCTCCCCGATTTCCATCAAGTCGGGGTCATGGAGAAAGAGTCAGTAAGAATCCTTTTTGAGAGTAAAACTGAAAGTAGTTAAATTGGCCAGAAAACTCAAGTTCTCTTCAGGGCAGGTAATTCTTGCTATTTCTAATTAGCAAGAATATGATACTTCCTCTAGGACAGTCTCTGTGCTTATTATTTACCCTCTCCTTTGCTTTCATGTAAGAGTTACCCTATTTTCCCTTTCTCCATTTTACACAGACTGTGTAGGGAGTGATTGAATTTGTAGTTTAGCCACAGGCTGTAGAGAGAATGAAAATCATTAAAACGTCATGGACTAGAAGCTGGGGACCAAGAAAAACTGAGACAAGTTAGACATGAGAAAATGTACACTCCCTTTGGAGCACAAGAGGATGGATTTTCATGCATATGTAGGGTAATTTCATGCTATTGCGTAGGG